AATGCCACGTAGAATTAAGGCAGTTCTGAAGGCGAAAGGGGGTCAAACACCGTATTAGTATGGTGTTCCTAATAATCCTTTAGGTGAGTGTACTGTATAAGGCCTTCCCAAAAGTGAAGTTCCACGTAACACTGAACACTCCAACGGCAAAGAAATAACCAGTTCATTACAAGAACACCTACAACTTCCTGTATTCCCCTTTATATTTCTTCCACAGTGTCGTAATACTCCGATTTTCATTGGTTAGCCCTAGGAACATACATAAGAAGGTAACCATGAAACACTCTACGATGGATCAACAAAGCCCTTTTCAGCATACACAGGCTGTACATTTAGAAAAGCCATGTTTTATGTGCTGATGGAGATTCATGATTTTTCATGGGTAGGTACTTTGACTGCCTATTTAGAGCAGAGCCCACTCATCCCATTAGTCTCAGCAGTTTGAAGAAATCTTGTTCAGAGGAAATTTTCATCCAAAGGAGCTTTATTTTCCATCTGCATAAATTGTTTTTTTTCTCTCCATATAGGATGTCTTAGATGCACCTTGGACAGTTTTTCAAAAAACTTCTGCGTAGTTCATTGGGCTATTAACAGTAGACTTTACCTGTTATGAAAATTGTCAGACTTCTGTCAGCGGATGCATTTAAAATGTGAAAGCAATACCTGTATATTGCATCGCTCATGATCGCTGTTCAATTCCAATGTTAAAGGGTATACTCCAGAAAAATATAGATGCTACCTCTGTAACGTTGGAATAGAAAATGAGCAAAGTAAATCTGGAAAAAAACTTACCTACCAATATACAAAATTTTATATAGTCCCCTATGACGTCACACTTAATTTAGTTACATTTGCGTAGGCACAAACTAATCAAAAAGATCATCTATAACCCTCTTGGATTTCTGGTCGTCTCCCACACTCAATAGATATGTAATTGCTGTTGGACAGGTTACTCAAATCGGACTTTGTGCGAGTCCCGTCAATGGCAATGCAGTGACGCCAATCGGGTAACTTTTTCAGTCATTTACACATTTTCCAGTTAAAAACTTCTCGCTTAGATAAGGGCGATCTGATAAATGTTGAAATGATAAATTATTGGTAAAATATAAAAAAATAAAGCGAATACATGCCAAAATACTGTCAAACTAAAATAAAGAGAAATAACTCATCAATAAATTAATGTTTAACTTGGTAATTAAATAATATATTCCAAGACCATGGGCGTAAATTACGGGGGGGATGGGGGGTTGTAGCCCCACCCAATACATCAAAACAGCTAATACAAACCCCCCTCGTAATCATGTTTCCCCCGTAATGGGTGGAGACCTCAACCCCCCTAATGTTCCAGCCAAAGTTACGCCCTTGTCCAAGGCCAATTTCATGTTGCATATTGTACAGTAAGTAAATAAATGAGTACTGTGATGTTTCATTGGCGATGGCTCACGGCTGGCAGCTGGAAATTTCATACAATTCCCAGTGAACATTACACTATTATGTCGACAACCGTTGCACCTTAATATAACCAAGGACTCGTGAGGAATACAATTTGGAAAGTAGCCGGGGAAGCGTTCAGCTTTAATATCCATATAAAGATACAGAAACGTTAACACGGGATGAAGACGCGTATTTTTTAGTTTATTACTCGTAAAATGTTTATGACGTACTTTACTGTTTATAACGTAATTTACTGACAAATTGACAAATTTATCATTTTCGGATATTATCCAGGTCACCGCCCCCACGACCCTGACCTATAGAAGGTTTTCGGAGGTGGGTGAAGGTACTATAATGTTTGACACCTGACACACAGTTAACACTCCTTGAATCATTGTGTAGTTTAAGTATGTTACTCGACGGATGACTGTTTGCGATGTTACAATTCAGGTATAAATTATTCTGTATAACAATAAGGATATTGTAACAGAACCATTCACATGACCATCATTGTCAGCACGTTTCTAGCAATAACGCAAGACATACAGCCACACACACAGGAAATACGGTAATTATGCTATTTCCGGCTGGAAACGTGCCTCTTCAAGGGCATCCGCCATTTTGAGGGGCAGCGTCAAAGGATTGCGGGTCTGATGGGGAGTTTGAATGTAATAAAATGGCCTCAAAAGTCCCTGAAACGTAGTCATTTTATCTAGATATGTTGTTCCTCTACGAATGCACAATAATAATTGTCCACGTAATATACTTAGTCTGGCTAACGTACCAGAAAAACTCTAAAAATTAAAAATAATTGTCTAGAATTCACTCCTGTTTAACGATGATATTTGTAAATAAGACCGGAAAACAAAATGCAATATAAATAGAAAATACATCTACAAACAGTGCAGTATGACAGGAATTTCAACAAACTGTGATCAAACTGCATGGCGAGCAAAATGAATTAATAGCGAAACATAAGAGGTTTCTGTATAGACAGCTGTAAAAAGAATTGGTGCCTTATTTTTAGGATATGAGCTTTTTCACTATAAGTAGCAATAAAGATGAATTATTCCTTATACAAAACTGTCATCTTATATCATTATATTCTTTAATTACTTGAGTTTTACAAAAATAAAGTTCTATTTTGTGTCTTATAAATCTGTCCAGTAGTTTACCCATTCCGTAGAGAAGCTTGTTGAACGCCATAATTTGATGGAACTAGAATAGCACCCGGAACTATTCTAAAGACGGGAAACACGACCATAGGGACACATGAACCTGTACCATACGGAAGTATTCTAATGTCCGGAAATAGCTGAAGGGATGCGAATACATAAATGCATACTGAGGTTTAGAGACTCTTCAGATCCAAATGGTTAGCAAAGTATTTTTCCCTCATAGAATAAAAAACACTACCGTATAACCTGAGAGAGAAAAGGAAAATAAGGAAATTATTGTACGCGCGGCATTTTGCTTATTTGCGCGGACGAACTAGCCGCTAGCCGATTTGCAATCCCAACGGAAATTGCGTTTTGTTAACGGCTTGAAAATAGTGCAGGAGAGGCTGCTGAAAGAGGGCCTTGGTTTTGGAACTACTTTTCACTTAATGTGAAACACGGACCTGGGGAATTTTCTGCTTCCCCATGCTCTGAATTATTATTTTAAAAGTGTTCTTCTTGTTGTTGGTTTTTCTTCTAACGGGGATTTGAGCACTAAACGCACAAGATTAGATGTTTGTCCAGCTAACGTGCCACGTATTTTGACAAGCTTGTTTGGTAGTTGTATTTTTTTTCTTCCAGGTAGCTTGTGACTGACTTTACTGTGTAATTTTCTTTTAAGACAGTATATGATTTTTTATATATTAATAGAACGTATAAGTACTGAGTTATCTGTATATGTTACGCACTTTGTATACGTAGTTTAGCGAGCAGCAAGCTACAGGGAGATGTGAATGCAAATAGTCTCTCCCTCCCTTTCCCTTCTCCCCGTTTTTCGCACTGCACAAAAAGTACAGCATATAATTGTTGAAAAACACGTGATATGAAGGTGAGTAATCTTTTTTCAATATGCCAAGTTTTGTCTTGTTTCACATAGGATGTTGGCGTTAAGTTCTAGTTGGTATTCTTTTCTTACTAGTCATTTTTATGTACTGGTGAAATTTGATCAGTACAGTGCAGACAATGCAACGGTTAAGTCTGATTTGTTAACTTTGAAAAAAGTGAGATCTTGTACATGCATGCATGCTGCTGTTCTAGTAACCGAACCTGGTTATGAAATGTACCTTTTGAAATATCTCCTTGGAATTCAAAACTACAACGTATAACCATTGCCATTTCTACTTTCTCATTATTTACAATTGCATCGAGACGTCAAATCAAAATATCCGCTGAACTAATTCAGTTTGCTGCCATGAAAATTAAGATTCTCGAAAGTAAAAATCCTCGGCTGACCTTTTCCATGGAAATTTGAATTAAACGTTAAATGGAATGCATTTCAAAAGCACCAGGGTGTTTAAAAATTATGGTTATATGTAGCTGGTATAACCAACTAATTGGCAACATTTTTGGTGAAATACCTGCAAAGTTTATTTCGAATAAAGGACTCGGTTGGTTAGGAAATTGGAAAAGTACTGCAATTACAATTTTCCAATGAGAGTAATTACATGTAGTAGTCTCCGACGTGAATTTCATAGTATTTTCCCAAAAACGAGCAAATATTTTAAAGCATCCTTAATGCTGGAGTAGGTCTGTTGAGGAAATTGCTGAGAAGAAATTGAGTCACCAGATATTTTGCAATTCTAGTTTCTCTAAGTTTAACATTTCTTGTGTGTCCCTATAGCATCGATCAAGTATCCCACTTATACAAAACAGCGCATTCTTTTTCCATTGACTTTTTAAAAGAATTTGTTTTAAAACGGTGATCTTGATCTCTGCAATGCAGAGCCACACTTGAATCTGTTGATGAGCACTCAGTTTCTAACAAAAAAACTAAATGATGAAATTATTTTTTAATGTAATAATCTTAGTTTAAATAGCAAGCAGTAATTTATGACATTAGTGTTTTTATGCTTTTGTGAAAATATTTTAAGCCTTATTGTTTTAGCAATTAAATGCATATAGTGTTCTAGGGCATCAACTAACAGTATCTTGATATCATTAAGTTGCAAAACCTAATATAAAGAACCCATATGGTTTTCATGTGAGTCTATATGAAATCACTAAGGCCAGGTTCATACTTCCTGTGAATGCAGTGCTGTGGTGCTCATGTTGTAGTGCTGGACCATTCACAATTGTGAATGTTCAAACTTCTTGCACCAGGCAGTTGTGTACTTTTGCTGTGTGCCATTTTAACTTGGAAGTCAGAATTTCCATGTCCCTAGTTGAAAATTTCAACTGAAACGCCCCTCTGTAGTTGGAGTTCCGATTCCGAAAGTTAGAGGAACCTCTACAACCAAGACCTCAGAATTCAAGATGGCTGCACCCTTCATCAACAAAAGTGAAAGCTGTAGTTATATATTGTTTATTATAGGGATGTTAACCGATGACCGTTTGACCGGTGGTTGACCGTATCAACGTTAACCGGTCAAAGTTGTCGGTAATCGGTTAAAAAAAAAAGTGATATCTAAATTAGGCTATTATAGACAGTGGACTATATACGCTACTACA